GTGGGTATTTCAGTTTATTTCTCCATATTTTTTGGAGGTCTCTATCTGGCGGAATCAGCAAGGGTCTCAACGCTCCATGACCTGGACTGAGGATGGACCTATGTTCTGGCAGAATTTTATTTGCTTGGAATATCTTCAACATTTAACGTTAGAAATAGGTATGCATGACTTGACCTTTGAGGTCAAACAAGGTCCTATGCTTCTCCAAGGGGAGGAACTCTATTCTGGTGTTGGATTATATGTAGGAGGTTGAGAAGTGTCTCGAACGGGGGTTTGATCACTACCAGATGGTGCAGTAGTGCTGGACTCAAGCTTCCTGTCACAAGTGACCAGGTGTCTTTTCTTGGCTCAGAAATAAGTCTTGAAGAAAAGTGCACTGCTTTTACACATGCTGGTACAGTACTATGCAGTAGTCTGTATAATACTGCACAGCACAGTGTTAATGGGGCCCGCTTAGTCAGCCATGGCCCCTGGGGGCACCCAAACTAGGCACTTGTAATCTAGGCCCTGAGGTGACGTAGTGGAGCCACTAATACCCTAATAATATTTTGTTGCCTTTTACAAAACGGTGGCCCCAAACCAGGCATACTCCAACTAGGCCTCCAGGCAATAGAGAGTGCCGAGTTTGGTTCAGCTACATCGTCCCTTTGTCTTCATGGAGCCTTTAATCAGTCTATATTAGGCTTTTAATAGAGAAGAATTAACAATTCAGAGGACACTCTCAAACTAGACTTCAGGGAGACAGAGCACTCAGATGGAACAGGCCAAACCAGTGGACTGAGTCATTTTTTTTAGTTGAGAATATGAATTACCTTCTTTTAATGATGGAAATTCCAAAAAATAAATCTAAATCTCTGACTTGTCATTGAAAAGCATTGAAACAAATTCCATAAAAATAAATATTAACCTCTAAAAATCAGGTACATTCGCTGAATGTCCTGGTGACGGAGCATGCAAAGTTTGATCAAGCTACATTGTTCCTTTTGCGTTAGCAGGTCCCTTTAATCAAATAAAATTAGACTGTTGGATTTGAAAAGAGACAAGTTACAATATAGGGACCCTTAAAAATAACACCCTAGGACCACCAAACTGGACATGCTCGAACCAGACATTGAGGCAACGGAGCACAAAGGCAAAACAAGCCACACAAATGCCCTACATGCCTTTATTTGCATTAGAATATGCATTTCCATCATTGCAAATTTCAAATAATTCTACATCTCCAAGATGTAATTGACATGCATTCAGACAAAAATTGCAATGCAGTTGGAAGAATCAAACATAAATACAAACCTAATGCAACTACTTGGAACAATTTTCTAATAAATAAATAAATAAATAAAAGGAAATTCACTCCTTGACAGAGGGACTGGAAGGCCCGATGGCATTGCTTAACAAGCGGCGGCCCATGCACTACCCTTGATCTTCCTATCCAACCACAATTGTCTGATGACAGTTGATGGGGGAAGTCATTGTATGTTCCCCTAACCTAGTTGCATTAGGTTTGTATTTATGTTTGATTCTTCCAACTGCATTGCAAGGCAAAGTACAAAGAGGTGAAGAGAGGGATGCGCCACTAGACTGAGCAGGGCACCCTCAAGGCCTGGCTTGGCCTATGTTTTTCACCTATTCATTCTCCTTCCCACAACAGCAAGTCAGAGAACGAACAGGTGTGATACAGTATATTAATGAATTTTAGGACACATCATCAGTAGTGTACCCCAGAGTCATCAGGTGTTTTGGCCTTTAACCCTTTAATGTTCTGCTCAACCATTTGGTAGAGCACATTTTGAGTCACAATATATGAACAAAGTGCCATCTCAACTGTTTGGTAGACATGAATATTTTTAAAATTATGGGGTCAAAAAAACGAAAAAAAAGCGCCAGTTGTTTTTATTATTGCCCCAAACAAATAAAAAATACAAAATATGAAAGTCCATTGCTTTTTTTCTTGGTGAGGACATTAAAGGGTTAAACGCTATATACCCTCATCTGAGGCGGCCAGCCATAGGTCGTATGGCTTGTGTCCCATGCCCAAATCAGTTATTTATTTTTAAAGTATTATATTGTATAAAAGCTAAGGCAGGTTTTTATTTTATTTATTTATTTATTCATTTATTTTTTATTATTTCTTTTTTTTTATGAGATTCAGACAAAAAAAAGAATCATCTTTAAAAATAAGGCTTGCCTTTGGGGTCAAACTCAAAAGCTCGCTGCTGAAACTGTAAGGATGGGTTCTAGGGTTCTCTGAGGTTAGAAACTCCATTTCAAGGTTGGGTTTTACCCAGTTTCGGGCTTGTGGGACTTGATAAATCTCAAAATAGTCAGGTTTCAGTAGTGATAAAGATGAAGGCTGATAGATTCAGCCTGACATTATATAATGATAATAATAATAATAATAATAATAATAATAATAATTTAATATCTTAATTTACTTATGTGTAGTCAAATTAAAGTCAGAAACATTTATATCACCAACTTGTGTCCTTGCAATGTAATATAAATGGGGTCAGCCTGCCATCCTATCAGGGAGCATCCAGAGCTTGAAAAACTAGGCTATAAAACAACAGAAAAGACCAAAATTATTAGCACCTATTCCAAGAAAATAATTTTAATCTCTTAATTTCCTTTTAGGTTATCAAATTGTTTAAGGAACAGCTTAGGAACTGTAGCACCCAGAGATTCCAAATTGCATGTGGTTAAACTAGGCTGTGACACAAAGCAGCAGAGTTGGAGCATCAAGTAATACAGACTCTAATTTATATGATTATTTTACATAGTGAGTGCAGTAGGGCTTTGAAGATTTCCAGCACTTGGAGATTCTGAAATCTGATGTTTGAGACCTTTTCTAACAGACGTCTAATGAACTAAGATGACCTTAAAATGTGCTGACAGAGTATAACAGAACACCAAAATATGTAAGAACACAGATCAGATATAAGATTTTAATAATACATATACCATATTATGAATGAAATAATCATGGTTAATTATCAGTGCTGGCTAATTACTCATTTGTACTGAAACAGTGAACAATTATCCATGAATATATATGTAAATCATATACCAAAATCTAAAAGTTTAATTTACTAGCAATTACAAACCTAAATTACCTATTAATTTATTTTAAATTCTTTAACAGTCGATCCATCATCCAAAAATCCTATCAGACCACAGGATTTATACTCTTACCTGAATAGACTTAGTGTTGATATGTGAGGGTCCTAAGATGCACATTGTGGTACCGTGTAACTTTATTTGTTACAAAATATGCTTTTCCTATAAACGTCAGAAAATCCACAAAAATGCATAAATCCTTAAAATATTACTAAAAATATTTGTCGTCATGGCCCTTCCAAGAAATAAATAGTAATATCTAAATAATCAGGGTAAAAATTAGAATCTCAATTCCTAAGATATTAGTGAGCTTATTTCTAAAAAAAAATCTTATTATTTTCAAAATTATTATCCTTTTTCCAAAACTGTAATCTGCATTCCAGAAAAGCAATCTCCAGTAGTGTGATATTTTAAAATTGTGATCTAAATTCCAAAACTGGGATCTTTATCCAAAAATGGATCTTTTGTCCCATTTTTGAGATCTTCCAAAATTGTGATCTGAATTCCGAAATTGGGATCTCAAATCCAAAGTTTTGATCCTAGTTCCATAATTATTATCTAAATCCCAAAATTATGATTTCAATTCTAAATATCTACCAGCATGTTGAATAGGGAACTTGTGGAGTAAACAGATTGGACCTTGTTTACACCAGTATCTATGGTGCATACAAGATTGTCCTGGGCTATTAGAAAGGCAAAGTGCAACTATGAACAGAGAATCCATGAACTCTTTCTAGACACACAGCATATGTGGCAAGGCATTCAGGTCTTGACTGACTATAGGGTGACACCACATGCTGGTAATGGTGATGTCTCGCTTCCAGATGCACTGAACAATTTCTAGGCGCAGTTTGAAGCAACCAGCCAACAAGAAAGAACAAATGCTTAGTCTATCCACAGCTGATGTCAGGACTACTCTTCCCAGAGTTGACTCTCAGAAGGCTGCTGGGCTGACAACTACTTGGCCGGGTGCTCAGGTGATGTGCTGACCAGCTTTGGGATATTCTAACTGACTCTTTAACAACTTCAACAGCCAGTTTTGCAATTTTGGAATTGGATTTTAAAATTTGGAATTTGAATTGTGCATGTCTGAAACACAATTTTGAAATTAGGGTTGGAAAGGGTATGAGGATTGCAATTTTTTTTTAAATAATAGGGTAAAATTTTGGAAAAATCAGAAAATTGGAATATTTTATCATAGTTTTGAACCATCAATATTGAAATATTGGATCATATATTTGAAATAAGGATCAAAACATTCAAATATAGGATCACAATATGGCAATAGAAAAGACAATATAGGCATTGAATCACAAATTGGGAAGAGGAACTAACCTTAGAGTCTGTTATAATTATGATGTGACAAAAGTGTGCTAGAGTTTCCAGAAGTATAATCAACAGCTCAGCAGTGCTCAGGAAATTAGGTGGTACTGCAACCAATCATCAAATTTTATTGATTTTTTTTATTCAATAAACACAAGCACTAAAATTATGAAAAAATATCAGCATTAAAGATCAGACCCTAGACTGTCTTTAGAGACCATATTAAAATACATTTCTTATATCCACAATATTAAAAATAGATATTAAATTATGAAAAACATTGCAGATTACCTTTTATCCAGATAAAATTTGCTCTGAGGCTCGAATTAGGGTGTGTGTAGTAGAGTTTTTTTTTGGTAGAGGTGTTTGTGTGTGTAGGTGTGTTTGGTAGACATGGTGGTGTGTGTGAGAATGTGTGGAAGAGCTGATTAGTGGTGTGTTAGGGTGTTTATGGGAGAACTTGTTAGGTGTGTGTGTGAGGAAGTGTGTGGTAGAGCTGATTAGGTGTGAGTATGAGGGTGAGATGTGTGTCTTAACAATCTGTATCTTCATACTCAGTGTAACTTTAAAATGTGTAATGATCAACAAAGAGAAGAGAGGAGTACAGAAATAGATTCAGTACATTACACACTTAAATCATAAGAAATTCCAGATACAGAATTCAACATGCAGTCATTATTATGCCTGTGTGGATTTAATCTCAAATTATCAGCATAATAATCACACAATCATCATAGGCTTGTAAATAACATTAGAGAAGGTCATAAATCTTTTTCTTATTATGCACACTGTAAAACGTGGAAGCATGTTTTTGAGGTTTGAATTGATGTAAAATATTGTTTATCTAAATTAAAATTTTGCTTTGCATTGTTTCATTCAGAGTATTTATTTGAGTTGAAAAAAACCCAGTGAACTCAGAGCTTATCATATGAAGTAAATGAACTGACACACCATTTTTTACAGCACAGTGGAAAATCAAAAATGTGTTATAACTGCTCTATAAACAGTTATAAGGGGCTGCCTGATTTTAAATGCCAACACTGAAAACAGAAAGCTGTCATATGTCATTTACAATTGATTAATTTCTCTTTAATTTCTGACCTTCAACCAAAAATAATCATATTGTTAAACTGTAGTAAAAAATTCATGTTTTTGGCAACAAATGGAAAATTTCTTTAAAAACCTTTTAACTACCTTTATCACATCAGACACAGAATGTTTTCATGAAGATAAAAAAATAAATAGAATCAAAAGATCGAAGTAAGATTTAGATGAATTAATGAGATGAGTGTCAGTAAATGTTTCTAGCTGACTAAGGTTGGTTGAACTCAAAAAAAATATAAAAAAAGTAAATGTGGGGGTGTTTAACCTCAGCATATCCCATTTATGCTCCATAAAAAGGTGATCTCTAATAAAATCTTAAAGTTTCTTGCATTTGAAAAGGTTGGAATGTAATTTCCTGAGGAGAGACACTGGCTGTGAGCTCTCAGTCACTTGATTCATCTCTGTCTGAGGCTCCTCCTCCACGTCATCATAGTCTGTAAAACAACAAGAGCATTAAACTCTTTAAAATAATAATAATAAACTATATCTTTCATATAGTGAATGTATTCCAAAAACGCCCAAAAGAGAAGAACAGAAAACTGGCACTATGCAAGTCTGTGTAACAGGAAGTCTGCAACTCAGAACAAGTTGTTTTTAAAGGTTTTCGATAATTCTTAAAACACTATCATAAAGCTAAGATGCTAAGAAGATGCTACAGTGCTACCAGTGAATACTGAATGAGTGTAGTTTAGTCTGATTTCCCTCCAGTTTAGTCTTTAGTTCAAGACTCTTCAACTCTGATCAGAGAAATCCCCAAACTGTGCTGGACACTGACCCACCAGAACTTACAGCTCTATAGGTCTATTCTGTGTCCTTGAATAAAATATACAACGAACAAACAAGCAACCAACTTTAAGTTTAAATCATCTGCATTGTCCCATCATTCTTAGAATACACTTGGACAGATGCAGAGAGGACGGATTATTTCCAGTCCTGCCTAGATGGCAGTGCTGTACTAATCATTATCAATCTTATTCATGTGTACACTTCTGCACTTTTACACATCTGCACAATTGCAAGTCAGGGCTGGACCGGGAACTAAATTCAGCCCAGTGCTTTTGTCTAGACCAGCTCACTACAAACACAGTGATCTCCCCCCACCATTACTCCCAAAATCCACAAATCCCTTAGCCTTAAGGCCTATTCACATGCGTCATGTACTCAAATGCACAACAAGTTTTAAAAATGAACACGTATATTGGCGCTGTCTTTCACATTGAGTCTAAAACTGATGGACGCTGCATAAATTTAATTGGCACCTCCCCGATTTTCTGTGTTGTACGTTAAAAATCAGGCTGACCAATCAGAGCTCTGTTGTCATTCTTGCAGCCCAAGCAAATGTGCATCAGGATGGTGGCAGAACTCATCTTGCTTGTTGCAGAGCACAAAAGCTTATGCAACAAGCAACAAGCTGAATATAAAAATGCAGATGTTAAAGAAAACATATGGCGGGCCAGAGGTGAAAGTATGGAGAATGACAGTGAGTACATTACAGTGACTGTATAGCCTTTTTTAGTTTATCTAGGTGCATTGTAGTCTGAACATGCCCACGAAGAACCTCAAACTATTAGCTTCCCTCATTTTAATGAGCGAAGCAATAAGCAGAAGCAGAGCCTTGAATGGACTGAGGTAAAATCAGTGTGTGCCTCATTTAATACAGCTCTTAAAAGAAAAAATGATGAATTGACCATCATTATCTCTCAAAGAATCCATTTCTTCTTCCTCTTTCATCTCATGTGCAACAGATTTGGTGTGAAGATCCCACTACGGTAAAACCCAATTTTTTTTCCCAAATGAATCATACTTGATGTGAATAAGCCTTTATTGTTTAAGTAGATTGAATGAACTGGCTAACTTTCCTCTTTGGCCCTGCGGTTCCTTGCTCTGATATCCCGACAAATTGTGTAGTTTTATTTCTTCATTTCTTTGTTTCTTATTTTAGTAACTTTTTGTGTTTCTTTCTGTGCCCTTATGCTTTTTGGAAATTTTTCCATCTCTCTCTAGGTGGCCTTCACATGCTGTTTGTCCCAGGCGGTCTCCATTCCCTTTATAAAGTATCACATAAGAAATGATCATTTCATGCATGTCTCTCTCTCTCTCTTTCTCTCTCTCAGCCGCCCAAATACATAGTGGCACACGAAGAATTGTCCCAGTTCTCCCAATGGCCAGTCCACTTCTGCTTAGAGTGTGAAAGTAAATATGATTTATAAATTAGTCACATGAACCGACTTCACGTGAATACATATTTCTGCACTTCCTTAAAGAGTTAATACTAATAATAAGTTAGTACTTGTTATAAAATGTGCAGCTTTCTGCTCTACATCAAAATAAAGAGGACACTTTTTTTTTGTTTATCATACACCATAGATATTGCAAACATGATTTCACGAGACTTCCTGTGTACTTAAATCACTTTCTTCATCCTTCTCATTAATATTCATGTGGAATGTAAACACTCACCTTTTACCTCTCCAACATCCTGTCTAGTAGTGATGACATCATCATAGTTCTCTGGTGTGTCCACTACACCAACATGGGAAGACAAATTATAACAATAAAAAACAAAACTGATGTTTTAACTGTTTATGTATCTTTTCTAAAAGACTTGCCAATATTAAGAAAAGCATACTTCTCATAATGTTGGAGTTTGGTCCAGCGGTAACAGCATCATCATAGATATCTGTCATGTCTTCTGTCAAAATGTAGAGATAAATGTTATTAAATCAGCATCAGTATCATCAGTGACTGTGTTCATGTTTGAGATTACAGTATTGCTACAAGTCAAACCTGTTAGAACAGCTGAGCTCTGATCAGCAGTGATGACATCATTATAATTCTCTGCTACGTCCTCTACAACAAAACACAGAGATACTTAAAGAATATAAAATCAGATTTTACACAGCTGTATTAATCAGGTGTTTCAGATGTAATAATTGAATGTAGAATTTTATGACACTGCGTTCCTATTAATTAAGTTGTTCAATTATATATTTGAAAATAATACTTTTTAAAAAATGTAATTTAATAAAAAAATAAAATAATTAATTTTGGTATAATAATTTGAGCATCAAAACACCCTCCTGCACTTATGTGTGACCGCTGCTGTAAGGGACAGTGAAGCTCCATAAATTATTAAAAAAAGTCATTACAAATACAGACTATTAGATTATTCTTATTTCATAGCATTTGTTATGCTTTTTAATCCCTGCTTAATTAAAAAAAGACTAAAACCTCAAAACAGAAACACACCTGCTACACTATCAGAGATCTGTCCAGCAGTGATGACATCATCATAGCTCTCTACTGTGTCCTCTTTTGCTGTTTCACCTAAATCAAATAAAAGCAGACTGACTTTACAAACAGTGCAATCATAATTTTACATTGTGATTTAATGTAAAAACAAAATTAATCAGGTGATTAATTAACAAAGGAACTCACTTATCAGACCACTGCTGGTGACATCATCATAATGTTCTGCCTTCACTCCAGTCAGAGACTTTGCTACAAAAAGAGCCAAGTTCATCACTTTTACATTTTAAAATAAAATCCTTATAAAGATCCTTAAAATCCTTAAAGATGCTTTAGTGGAACAATTTCAGTGTGTGATTCCATTATGATTATAGAGAGAAGCTATTCTGCCCTCGCATATGCGTGTTTGAGCAAAGCTAGACAGATAACCTAGGTTAGCTAGCTAACAGGAATTCCAAGAAGAATCAAGATCTTTGCAAAAGGAGTGGCTTTACTGAGGACTTCAGTTTCAATCACATCCTTTGTTCTTTGTTTGGTTCTTTCCTTTCATTCTTACTTGTAAAACTGCAAATACAAATTAAATATCTTTTTCAGTACATGAGTACATAAGAAATAAATAGGTTATATTACTGAGCTAACATTTGTATGAACTGCTTTTAACCATGTAAATAGTTCGCTATATTACCCCTTGTACATATTCACAGAAGCAAACATCTTTTAACCAGTAATACTGCATAAGTAAAGTAAATAATCAGACTACGGTCACTACAGTCACAGTCACGGGTTACAGACCAAAGCTAACATACGGTGCAGTAAGCCTGGGCATGCTAGCTAGCAAATGCACCGATATAGCATGAACTGAACTAACACAAAATACACTGCAAACGCTTAAGCTTCTACAAACTATTAAGTTTGTAGCTTAAGTTTTAATATTTTGTAGACTTACAGGCATATATTTTCCTAGGCTCAAACAAAAAGGGAAGAATGAGGAAGTCCGTGCACACTGCAGCTTGCTTGAACTACAACAGCAAACAAAATGGAGGAAGACTTGCTAAATGCAAATTGAATGCCTGCAGTGCAGAAAATGGGGAGGCGCTAAAATGAGTCTAAATGAGGAGCAGAATAGAAGCATTTCCAACAGACACTTCTGATCTAGAGATAAATCAAATCTTTAATCAGAGAAACAAACTAGATTCACTGATAAAGATAATTTCAATCTGAAATAGCAAAGAGCAACAGATGATACTAGAAAAAATGTCTACATTGTAATTGAGCCAAAAGTATATTGCTTTCCTCATAAATACTGTATAATGGGGTGGAACTAAAAGTATTGTGATTTGGAAATAGTAAGTAAAAGACCTCTAAAAATTTAACTGAACACATATAACTGAGTAAATTTAACTGAGTGAAGTAACTAGTTACTCCTCACCTCTGTTGCTGTGCTTCTGAAATTTAATTTACTCTGGGCTGAAATGTTTTTGGCATAAAACAAACATGACTAAAATGACCTTGACTTAAGAAACATGGATTTATATTGAATTCTCTCATTTCTAAATGGTGATCATAATATTTCTCAGTTGAATGGAGTTTAACACACACATGTTCTGGTCCTCTTACCTGAGAGAAGCTCCTCACCCACATTCTCATATCCTGAATGCTGTTCTTCAGAGAGGATACTTCCTGTTAGAGGAGAGCAGAACAGACATCAAACACATTCAGAATGCAAAACCACCCACAATCCTCTGAGTGCTGTGGATCATTGTGAAGTAAAATCAGGTGAAAAAAAAAAAAACTGAATAAATGAGTGGAGAATCAAAACAAGTGTAGATGTTTCCAGACAGCTGTGCTGCATGATAAAATTAAGCAGTTCGATCCTATTTTGCTCTGTGGGGTGTATAAAAATGATGAGCAGGCCCAGTTAACCTTGATGTCAAGACGGCAAGAGAAAAAAGATCTTTGGCCCTGATAGTTTATTTTTGGGGCACTGAAGGCAGTTTCAGTCACAAAGACTGCTCACTGGCTAATGTTTCAATAGGAGTAGCAACTAAAGTGACATCTAGATTTAGATCTCTGGGAGAGTCATCAGTAAATAGGGCTGGACATTATGGTCAACAGCACACATTCAGTGACCATGATGCTCGTGCAGTACAGATATGTAAAACACTTACGTAATTAAATTCTATTCAACTTACACAATTATAGTCATGTTAAAATAAAAGACCAGCTGTGGTCAGGATCATCAAAGGAGTTTTATAAATATATACTACAGTATTTTCACATTACCAGTCTGGTAAATTTATTACTGCTGGATGTATTTTCATTATTTTGGTTATGATCTTACAGCTCTGAGGCTAAAAGGTTGTATATATTGGTATGCCATTTTGACTTCTATTATCTTATTTTGGAGAAATTCATATGTTTATTGTTATTTGTTGAATGCTGCACTGACTGTGTTTTTAAACAGGCTGGTTATGACAGAATTCATTCGGTCTAGTGTTGGTTATCTCTAGGTTGATGTGCTTAATGCTTTTAATTTGTGCTGTCCAGATTTTTCTCATGTGTTTTCACATTTGCACCCCATGGATTTGGCTTGTAACTTACGCTCAGAATTTAACAGACTGAAGGTTCTCCACAAAGAAGAGGTAATAGCTCTCAAATAGCTTTTGTGTGAATCATTAAAATAGAGGACTTGCATAAATAACAGTAATGGAAGCAATTAACGTTTTAATCTGAACAGTTTTGATTTTAACAGCTAGGTTGTGGACAGCCACTGGCAGAAAAGCAATAAGGGTGCTATGGAAGAGTGGAGCTTTAGCATTAGCATTAGTGACATTGTGTGAGTAGGGCAAGGCAACAGAGCCCAGTATGAGACTGGGCCACTGTGTTACAGTGATAAATAATGGCACCGCCCACACTTGGCACAAGCACATCACGCTATTGCTCAAAAACACAAACACTGGCTCACTCACTTACTCACTCACTCACTGACAACTCTGACGTACTTTACTAACTCACAAGCAACATTCGAAAAGTTGAAATAAGCTTCCTTTACTATCCACAATAATTTCCATAATTTTGTCTGTTCTGGTTTGACTGGACCAACATATTCTATCATATCTGTCAGTATATTTACTGTCTATATTTACTATAGACAGTATTATACTTACTATGCTTATCTAAATTTACTGTAGATAAGAAAATATCTTGCAATAAAGTTTCATTTAACTATTTTGCACAATCATTGATGGCCTCATTTGCTCACTCTCCTACTTACTGACTGACTCATTCAGTCACACACTTGTCCACACACTCATTCACACGCTTGCTTATTCACTTGCTCACTCGCTTTCTTACTCACTCATTCACTTACTCACTAACTTGAATACTCACATATGACTCACTCATTGACTCACTGACTGACTCATTTACTCACTCACTGAATGACTGACTTATTCAATCACACACTCGGTTACTGACTTTGTCGTTTGCTCACTCACTCAGCCACTCCATTACACAGTCAATCATTATTTTGGTCATTCACTTACTAACTGACTTGGTCACTTGGTCACTCACTGGGTCACTTGGTTACACTGTCATTTGGTCACTCACTCAGTCACTCATTTTGTCACTCATATACCCACTTGGTAATTTGGTCATACCAACTCCTTTGGTCACTCACTTGGTCACTTGATCACTCATATAGTTAGTCACTTAGTCAGTCACTTTGTTGCTCACTTGGTCTCTCAGTCACTCTCCAGATCACTTATTTGATTATTCATTTGGTCATTTACTCACTCACTTGGACACTCATTTACTTGCTCGCTTGGTCACTCAGTCACTCACTCGGCCACTTGGTCACTCAATTGCTCATTCAGGCACTTGATTACTTACTCTGGTACTCAGTCACTTGGTCACATGGTCACTCTCTTGGTCACTCCATCACTTGGTCAATAACTCTGGACATTGGTCACTTGGTCACACACTTGATCGCCTACTCAATAAGTCACTAAAACAATTCATGAAGTACCTGGTCACTCATTTACTTAGTTGCTCACTCGGTGAATCACTCACTCTATTACTCACTTGATAACTTGGCTGCTCACTGCACATGGTCACTCACTCATCATTCATTACTCCATCACTCACTTGTTCACTCAGTCACTTTGTCACTCAGTTGGTTACACGATCATTTGTCATGTAGTCACGTAGTCACTCACTTGGTCACTTTGTCATTCTCTCGGTCACTCACTTACTCACTTAGTCAGTCATTCACTACTGCACTTGGGCACTAACTTTATCACTCACTCGGTCACTCATCAATTGGTCACGCATTCATTCACCAAGTATGTAGTGAACACCACCATCTGGTTGAGCCAAAATCACCCTGTTTAGAAGAACTCTCCACATTACCCAAACTAAAAACTTTGGGTCCACAAAGTCTGAGGTAGAAGCCATAAAACAGGATTAAGTTGCCAACAAGTTTTACAGCTTAAAAGGGCGATACCTTGGGCATCTGGACACTGGGGGAGGTTAGCAACCGCCCTTTGCTCCATATGGCATACCAGGCAGCTATAAATCTTTGCCTGGAATCCAGCTACAGGCCTCACCAAACTTTTAACTAAACTTGTGAATTACAAGAAATTCAGTTTCTAAAGTGTGCACCAATACAGAATTGCCACCATTCAACGTTTCTACATTTCGAGAAGTCTGGAGACATCAAGAACGAGGTTGTTATGAGAATCTATAACAAAGTTAGCCGTTTTAGATTTTATTAACAATTTAGATACAGAACCACAACACCCCCAAGTGGTGAGAATGAGGCACAACACACCACCACCATAAGGACGTACTTATGAAGAACCCCAGGAAACATGTTGCGTTGTCTGCTTGATTATCAACATTTATATAATCTGTAAGCAATACTACTTGTTTTATTAATCTTATTGTTATGTGTATTACCTAAATATTACCTGTATCTTTTTTCTACTATTAAGTGCTAGAAATACATAGTGTATAACTTTGATAACAGACAGAGACAACCAATTGATTGTAATGAGTTTAGACCATTGAAAAATATGTATAAGTGGTTTTCTTTTCTTTTCTTTCTTTTGTTCCTTTTCTTTCGTTGTCCATTTTAGTTCTTCATGCATTGGGTCATATTCAGATATTATAGGCAAATATTACCTCTGATCTTTAACATGTGTTGTGTACCAGGTAACAAGGGTTAAACTCTCTCTTATATCTGAACACATATCTGAATATCCTAGTTGTTCATTCTTTGATTTTGAAAGTTAAACCAATTTGATGATATAAGAATGTTTCTTTTTCTTTGTTTAAAATTAACTGAAACAAAAAAGGCAGTGATTCTGGGGAAGGCATTCCTAAAATTATACACAACCAATCAGAGTTGGAAGCAATGAATAGCTAATTAACCGTTAGGTGAGGAGAACCTATCAGCATTATGGCTCCACCTCTAAAGGGTAGGGCCTACAGCCTAGCAAAACCGGAGTGCGCTGCAAATTTCGGGGAGCCCTGTGTATTCAACAAGAAGATAGCTAAATTTCTAAGTTTGTGCCGGCCTTGGTCAGAAAGACAGGTCAGAAGTATTAAAACGCTAAAATTTCAGATCTGAAACCTTTGTTTGTTTTGTAACTTGTCTGTTCATCTACACACCTTAAGTTAAACCACCCTTAGAGAAGGAAGGTGAATGGCTCTCATCAGGCCAGGAGAGGTCGTTCATGTTTCCGACTTCCGACCAAAGGTAGTTAGTTAGTTAAATTAGTATCACCAGCCTTAGAACCCTGATCGCAATCTAAACCTTGCCAGTGGAGTGGGAGCAGTTCTGACGCCACGGAGACCCGGCATCGCACCCAGAGCCACTCACTAATCTGTGAGCAGATTGACCATTGAAAGGCTGCCCAAGCTCCACCCTCAAACGGCCACGAGACGCCTCCGCCCAATCACTGACGCGTGCCCGCACCAAGATGCAGCATCCACAACCAGCAAGGAGATGAACCAACGCGTGAGCTCCAGCCTTTCGAACGAGCTGATCCTGAGACGATGCCTCCTGAAGTCAGCCCCGACTCCAACGTAAGCTGGTTCCATCAATTTGCAGTCAGGGCCCTGACACCAATTTATTTAATAAGAGAACTCTTAGTAGGTGCATCCAGCCATATAGTTATTCCCGTCCATACTTAGATTAATTCTCTAGAGGCTCTTTCATGTCTAAGTTTCGAGCAACTTCCCAAGAACCACACTGTCCTCATACCATTCAACTGTGAATCACTTTACTAGAGCTATTTTGTCCTTTTGACTTTTATTATTATTTTGGTTTTGTTTTTGTTTTATTTTCTGTTGGTTATTATTGAATGTAGTCCAAAAGTAGTTTGATATTTAGCCCATAAATTCCCTTTTATTGAAGCATCCTTGGTGCGAATGTTTCTCTCTCTTGCCCTGGTCTGTAGACTTCAAAAAAATCTGGGTTACCTCAAACCCTTATCCAAGGTTCTAGCAATAATAACATTGAAATTGCAAAACCCTTTACAGATTGGCACCCAACGCGGGGCCCGGTGATCTTTGATTTTTACAGATCATTGTAAGCGAGCGAAGTTTAATTCCTCCATGCTCTACATTCACCCTTCCCAGCTGGGGGCTTGTGTTATCGTGTTAGCCACGTAGCA